CTGCTTTTATTATGATAATGACTCCATTCTAAACATTTTTTGAACAATATTGACAAAAGCTAAACAAAAACAGAACAAACTTTTTTTATAGGGCCACCAACTATACTTATAGTACTCACATAAATTTTTCAAATTAAAACTTGAAAGTGATATTTAAATTTTTATTGTACCAGAATTTACCCTGAAAATTATTGCATAATTGTAAAGTTAATCACTCAATCAATGTATGCTATAATAATGTAATTATAAAATATTACCTTTATTAAAGTAACACATACTAAATTACAATTTCTCTAAGGCTAAGTTTGATACAATAAAAGTTTAAATATTAATCACAGGTTTTAACTTAGAAATACTTATATTTATATATAAAATATACACATACATTTACATATATAAAGTAGTTTATCACAGGTATATCTGCTTATTGAATAAACATGAATATTCCTGTGATATGTTCCTTATTTTTTCATGACTTACCAATTAGGCTTATTGTATATCAAATGTATCGAATGTAAACTTTTCTTTTTAGATATCTAAAAAAAAATTTTTTTTTATTAATCGTAAAGAATCTTCACGATTTTCATGTGTTATTATAAGTTTAATAAACAAATAATAATCATATGATAATCGTCGACACAGCATATATGTATATGTATATATTTGTACATATATATTCTATACTAATTATGCCCTTAATACTAATACTATAAATATAGGAAAAATTAAGTACACAGGCTCAAACTTTAAAACGATATTTGCGAAAAGATTATGTTACAAAACTTACAGTTAACTCATTAGGCCATGCTGTTCACGATCCTTGTATAAGTCATTGTTTAAGACATGCATTTGGAGATTGTAACTTAGTTCACTCAGAAATATGTAAAAACTGCGAGCAGCTGTTTACTTTTTTTGATGAAATTAAAGCCAACACATCTATTGAAATTCATGAGTTTTTAAATGAGTATCAGAATAAACTTATATATTTTCAAGCTCACCATGCAC